CGGGTGGTAGGGTCTGGGGAAGTGAAAATGATTTAATTGGGGTGGGGTCCACTAATGAGGTGGATATTTGGTGTGTAAGTAAATGTCCATATTACCCTTAATAATGATATAATTTTGGTTCTTTTTCAGCCATTAGATCGGATGATCTAATAGGTAGGATCTATTCTTATTTCTTTCATTAAGAACCATTCTCACCGAAACGCGACCCTATATATATATATATATATACATATATTAAAGTCTGAGGCAAAAAAAAATCCATCAGAAAGAATGAATGACATACGCAAGTAATTAATTATTCAACCTTAATGTAAGGCACAACCAAACAATCTACTATTGGGTAAAAAATTCTGTAAAACATAAAGAAGCAAGATAAAACTTAGAGTAATCAGACCTCTAGTTCTTCCAGAAGAGACTGATAAGAGAAGGCGGGTTATAACTTTGTTGATTGTTAGCCTAATATTGGATTTATAAGAGTGAGGGAGCGGAGAGATTATAGCAGAAGATACGATCAAATTGAATTCAGTCTTTATCTACCTTAAATAGATAAGAGTACCAAAAATGAAACGAGGCAGTGAACGCCAAATCAAAAAAAATTTCCGCCAATGTTTTAGTGAATAAGATTGGCCAAAGATAACCATATTACCCTTATTAAGCGAAATTTTAGAACAAAAGCAATAAAATTAATTAAGCTAAATTTTACAACCAAAAATTGAAAAATAAGGATGATTCATATGAGTATAGAACTCCCCGAACCTGTGGTGCCCGATCACCATGGGCGTGACGAGCTTCTGTACTGGAGTGACAGACGACCTGAACTCCATTGAGAAGTGGCTGTCACTCGGTCACAACACCTGATACTCCACGCTGCAGACTCGGCCGTCCGCTCTCTCCACCCCCAAACCTCACCCTCCGCCGCCTCGTAGACCTTTGTATAACACACAATCGCCGCCTCCGTCCTCGTCCTCGCCGCCGTTTCGAGCACCAGGTGGCAGACTTCATCAATGGCGGAGTATTCAATTCATATTCTCTCGTGAAATTGATGCAGTTTTTGGGTTGAAATTGGGAGATGAGATCGAAATTTGATTATTGGTATCGAGATTTTTGGGCTTTTGCGGTGTAGTGATCTGAATTTCGGCTAGGTGTTCTGCGATTTAGGGATTCATTGAGGGAGGGAGAGGGAGACATGTACGGTGGGTTGGGGGTGTTCTACGATTTAGGATCCATTTAGGATTCAATAAGATTTTATTTTTCTCCTTAATGGGCATAATATTGTATATAGTAAAATTTATATACAAATTTTTTTTAATTAAATAGTATGGCAATTAAATCTTTCAAATATGTAAGCTAATTAATAACTTTAGCATATACATTATAATTACATATGTGTTTTTTATTTATATAAAAAAATATTATTAAATTTCTTAAATAATTTTTTTAAAAACATTGGACTGGGTCAAATCGGTTCGATTAGTTGTATTTTGACTAAACCGGAAAATTGATTTGGTTTCGGTTTGCATTTTATTAACATTTAGATTTAGGGTTCGGCTTGGGTAATACGAACGGTTAACCAAGCAAACCGAAAATCAATCTATACATGTGTGTGTGTGTGTATATATCATATTTAATATATTTTTATTATACATATAAGTTATAAAAGCATTAATTTACTTCAATAACCCCTAAAATGGCTCGAACATTAATTTTCGTTCAAGATTTGTTTCGTCGAGCCATGGTTTGGGTCCGAGATCTTCCTTAGAGTAGAATTTGAAATTTATTGAAAAAAGTAAACAAAATTAAGATTTCTTTTGTTCCAAAAAA